GCCCAAAGACGACTGAGAGTGAAAGTGAACCCACGGGGCTTAGACTCCCCTCTCCGCTCCCACCCCAGGTGCACCCTCTTTTGGGAAATCCTCAAAGCCCGTATCCTTCCATGAGCTTCTGACCGCAGCATCCTTGGGGATGGACGGTGAATCGACCCTCTGACCTCTAGTCAACTTGGCCCGTCCCTCTTCATCACACTTTTCACCAGCTGCCTTGAGTTGATCTCTCAGGTACTCACCCTGTCTTTTGTATGAGATCATACCCAACACACTTCCTTTTTGCCATGGCTGTTGGGAAGCTCACGGTCAAAGATGGTGTCCAACTGTAATTGTTAACTCATTCTAGATGCCCAGTACCTGTTAGTTTCCTGCTCCTTTCAGCTGGGTTTTGAAGATTTTATTTATTTGTCAGAGAGAAAGAGAGCGCACAAGCAGGGGGAGCAGCAGGCAGAGAGAGAAGCAGGCTCCCCGCTGAGCAAGGAGGCTGATGCTAGACTCCATCCCAGGACCCTGGGATCATGACCTGAGCCAAAGGCAGACGCTTAACCGACTCAGCCACCCAAGCGCCCCTCATTTATAACTTTTTTTTTCAAGATTTTTTGTTTTTACTTTGATATATATATAGAGAGAGATCACAAGTAGGCAGAAAGGCAGGCAGGGCAGCGGGGGTCGGGGGGGAGCAGGCTCCCTGCTGAGCAGAGAGCCCGACGCGGGGCTCTATCCCAGGACCTTGGGATCATGACCCGAGCCAAAGGCAGAGGCTTTAACCCACTGAGCCCCCCAGGCGCCCCTATGCTTATTTTTAATATATCTGTTTTATGGTATGTTCCATCTTAGGAAATCATCTCCGTTTCTTTTCACAAATAGATGGGGCTTCAACCATTGTAAAAAGAAAAAAAAGTCTCACTTGTACCCCATGAGAGGAGGGGGCATGTCCTGTACATTATCCTTGTGTCCCATATCTGGAAGAGTACATTACATGGGGAAGATGCTTATTAAAAATATTTTGAATACATTATATATTATATAATTACATAATTATTATATATAATTATATAATAATATTATATATACAGCATATAATTATTATATATGATATTTATTATGTTAGAGGCTCTCCCCAGGGAAAGTAGGGACACTGAGTGACAACCAGATGTGGATCTTTTCTATTTTCTGTCTCCCATGGCACCTGTCTGGTAAACGTCAGTGCAGGTGCTAAGGTGACTGCTTTTGTATCAATTTGGGGCCTGGACCCTGCTAAGTGTCTTGCTGGATGGATGGCTGAAGATGGCATTTACTCAGTGACTCACAGGGAATTGTTGCTCCTCAAAGAGGAAATTAATGGCCTCAACTCTGTATTTCCAGTGGTGGCACTGTCCTTGGTAGCCCATGTCTCCCAGGCTTGGCACCCCCAAAGTCTCTGCCTCGTGCCTTGGGAACTTATCTCCCTTTCTTGAAATCAGAGGCTCATCTTTACTTCGTGACTCCATGAGGACAGCCATTCGGAGCTAGGAATGGCTCCCTAGGGACATCTGGCTGCAGCCGAAACTGCCCATCTCTCATCGTTCCTAACAAGGGCCATTGGATGTGCATTTCAAAATGTTCCAGTAGGACCGTGCTTAGCATGGCTAATGAAGGATTTCAGCCTTTGGCAAAGAAATGGCAGGGTTAGTTAAAACCGAACTGTTTCGTTGAGGAGTGATGGGTCTTTTAATGAGTTCACAAGGAACCCATGAAAGGGTCGGCAGACTAAAAATCAAGAGGGCCCCAGAAAGTCAGAAGTCATAAACAAAGACCCCTACTAGTGGAGACACCACACCTGTTTTCATTTTTATGGCCCCTTCTTTGTTCTTTCCCCTGCTGTGTGCTAAGGATATAGGAATTTTGATGATAAGAAAACAGATTAGATCATGCTTTGCTGGTTCTCAAACAGCCTTACTAGATCTAATCCCCAATATGAGGGAGTTTAAATTTCTGGTTTGGTTTTTAGGATCCTACAGGATCTGGTTGCAACCTTCCTTTTTAATTTACTTGCTCCGCATTCTCTGTCATTGCATGTCCTGGGCTTGGACTATACCAGCCATCTCTTGGTAGCTTCCACGCTTTTGGTCATCCTCTTCCCTCTGCATGAAAAGTCTTTCCTACCCCCATCTCTCCACTCCACCCTCTGTTCTGTTTGCAGAACTCAAATTCCTTCCCTAGTGAGGAAAAGAAACTGCACCTCCCTACGCCGGTGGTACTTTGCTTGTCCAAATTTCACTAGGTCCGGATAACAGATATCTGTCCATGTCTGTTTCTCCCCAAGATCCTAAATAGCCAGAAGGCAGAGCCTGGCTGGATATGGTTGTATCACGTGGAGTGGTGTGTTTTTATTCTTTTATTTTTTAAAAGATTTTATTTATTTATTTGAAAGAGAGAAGAGAGCATGAAAGAGAGAGAGAGAAGCAGGGGGAGGAGGGGCAGAGGGAGAAGCAGGTTCCCCACTGAGCAGGGAGTCTGATATAGGGCTCCATCTTAGGACCCCGGAATCATGACCTGAGCTAAAGGCAGACACTTAACTGCCTGAGTCACCCAGGCACTCCTCTTCTTGTTATTTTTATTATATTATATTATATTATATTATATTATATTATATTTTAAAAATATTTTATTTATTTATTTGACAGAGATCACAAGTAGGCAGAGAGGCAGGCAGAGAGAGAGCAGGGGAAGCAGGCTCCCCGCTGAGCAGAGAGCCCAATGAGGGGCTCGATCCCAGCACCCTGAGATCACAAGCCGAAGGCAGAGGCTTAACCCACTGAGCCACCCAGGTGCCCCTATTTTTTATTTATTTTTAATGATTTTATTTGTCAGAGAGAGAACACAAGCCGCAGGAATGATGGGCAAAGGGAGAAGCAGACTCCTTGCTGAGCAGGGATCCTGTAGGGAATACCAGGACCCTGGGATCATGACCTGAACCAAAGGCAGACACTTACCCAAATGAGCCACCCAGGCATTCCTCTTGTTCTTTTAAAATCAAGTTTTATTAATTCAAAATATGCCGTATATGCACACTAAAAAGTATAAAAGAGTGAAAAGTCACTCCATTCTCTAGCCAGCAGAATCCTTTCTATGTGAATAACCAATGTTATCAGCTTTTTATGAATCCTTCTAGACATATATAAACGTATATATTTTTCTTCCTCCTCTTTATTTTTTTTTAAGATTTTATTTTATTTATTTGACAGACAGAGATCACAAGTAGGCAGAGAGGCAGGCAGAGAGAGAGGAAGAGAAGCAGGCTCCCTGCTGAGCAGAGAGCCTGATGTGGGGCTCCATCCCAGGACCCTGAGACCATGACCTGAACCGAAGGCAGAAGCTTTAACCCACTGAGTCACCCAGGCGCCCCTCTTCCTCCTCTTTAAAATAAATGGGATCATATTTAAATAGTTTTGCATTTTGCTTTTTCACTTTACGATGCCCACATACACATACATTTAAAACTTACTTAACCAATTAACTATTGATAATGTGTTAGTTGTTTTCATTCTTTTGTTATTAAAAACAATGCTGCAATGAATAATCTTGTATATTTGCCTTGTTCAGATGTGTAACTATTTATGGAGGAAGAATTTCTGGAGGTGGAATTGCTAGGCCAATAAGTATGGGCACTTTTAATCTTGATCATCACTGCCTAATTGTTCTTTACAAAGAACATCCAGTTTCACACCCATAAGTGATATATGGGAATCTCTGTTCCTTCACTGTTGCCAACATGATGTGTTATTAACTTTGGACAAGCTATTTATTTGGTTTGTCGTCTGTTTGACAGAGACAGACAGGGAGAGAGAACACAAGCAGGGGGAGTGGGAGAGGGAGAAGCAGGCTTCTCACTGAGCAGGGAGCCCCCATGATGCAGGGCTCGCTCCCAGGACCCTGGGATCATGATCTGAGCTGAATGAAGGCAGATGCTTAAGGACTGAGCCACCCATGTGTCCCCAGATTTAATTTTAAGTGTGTGTGTGTGTGTGTGTGTAACAAATTCATGATCACTTCTTGGGTTGAAAATCATCAAAATTATCTGGGGGAGTTAACAATCTGGAGATTCTAAACCCATATTCACAGAAAAGTAATTCTTGTTTGACTCCAAGGGTAATTAAGGAATGTGGTAGAAAAATGTCACAGAGAAACCGTTTCTTTAATAAAGAGATCTTACTCTTGTGGAGCAATTTCCAGATTTTAGATGCATTTTACATGCATTGATTTCGATTTCGGGTATCTTCTGATTATTTTAGTAAGGAAATTACTAAAGAGGTCAGAAAGTCTGAAATCTGTCCCATAGTCGTGTTGTGAGGATTAAATAGGATGTCTGCAAAACTTTTGTCACATACTCGGCATATAATAGTCACTCAGTAAAGTAGCTCTAGTTATTAGCTAACAAACAATAGGTTGTTACATGCTGCGATTACAGATTAAGGGGCTACTGAGGTGGTAAAAATCTGCCCTCTTGGCAGTAAGGGCTCTGGAGCCGGATCAATTTCTCTCTGGCAGTGTGACTTTGAGCACATCCCCTAACCTCCCCCGTCTCAGTTTTCGCATCTGGAAAGTGGAAGAATAAAATCCAAGGCTCGAGGTTTGCCCTGAGCTTACATGTGCAGTACTCCCAAGGGCTTGCTACACACTACTTCTCTTCTTTCCTCTCAGTCTATTGACTGGGGCCATCAAGAACCCATCCAACAACCCGATAACCCAGAAAACCAGAGGGATCGAGACCAGGGCGACACGGGCACGGCCCTCGCCACCAGTACACCGCGCGTCTAGCAAAAGGTCACGAGCGACTAGCGATCCCCAACTACCCCGGCACAAACACCTCGCCCCGCCCCTCGGCGAAGGAGACCGTGCCCCCGCGGGGAGAGAGAGTCGGCCGTCCGGCGATCACCTCGGCTACGCCGTCTTCCGGTCGACTCGGCCCCGCCCACTTCCGGCTCGGCGCGACCCGGAGCGGGTTTCCGGAAGGGCGGAGGGCGGCGGAGCGCGGGGGGCGCGCGGCCTGACTTCGGCGTCGCCGGCGGCACGCGGGATTCCGCGCAGCCATGGAGAGCGGAGGGCGGCCCTCGCTGGGCCAGTTCCTCCTCTTGGGCACCAGCTCTGTCGTCACCGCCGTCCTGTACTCCGTGTACCGGCAGAAGGCCCAGGTCGCCCAAGAGCTCAAGGTCAGTGCTGGAGCCAGCCTGGCCTCACCCGGCTCACCCCTGCCCCCGGGAGTGGTGTGAGCCCGCCGTTCGCCTCGCGCCGCTCCAGCGTCCGAAACGGCCCTAAAGAGGAAGTCCGCCCTTGAGAGATGTCGCCCCGCCAGGCACGGGAGGAGCTAGGATCAGAATTCCGGTCTCGTGATAACCGCGGCCCTGCCCCTCTTCTCCTCAGCCGCCCCCGTTCCTCAGAATCTCGACTTCATTACTTTATTCGACAGATACTGAGGGGCGGCCTGCGCGGCTCCAGGCACTGGGGCTCTGGCATGGGTAGAAGAGACAAAAGTCCCTGCCCTCATGGAGATTCCATTCCCCTAACAGCGAGACAGAGAGTAGCTCAGATGGTATGACAGACGGGGAGGAAAATACTACAGGCTCAGGCGGGGAAGAGGGGAAATGCGGCGCTGGAGAAAGGGAGGTTTGCTATTTCAAATAAGGTGACGTTTAACAGAGCCCAGGAGGAAGTGTGGGAGACCCGGCAGGTGTCTAGGGGAAGAGCAGTTCCCGCGGAGGGGCAGCCAGTGCAGGAACCCTAGACTTTGCCCATTCACGTAACCACGCACTTCCTTGCTTCTACAGACCCTTCCTTTTTAATATTTTAGTTATTTTAAAAATCACGCTTGCTTTCTTAGGCTGCCCTCGACAGCTTAGCACATTCTCATCTTGTTATTTTTTTCTTCACAATAATTATTTTAAAAGCTTTTATTTATTTGACAGACGGAGATCACAACTAGGCAGAGAGAGAGAGAGGAGGAAGCAGGCTCCCCGCTGAGCAGAGAGCCCGATGTGGGGCATGATCCCAGGACCCTGAGATCATACCTGAGCCGAAGGCAGAGGCCTGACCCCACTGAGCCACCCAGGCACCCCTACAATAATTTTGGGGGGGTAGGGAAAACGATAGTCATGTCCGGATTGCAAATCAGGAAATGGAGACGCAGAGCAAAAGTCTCACAGCTCCTCTGGTTGGGACTTGAGCTTAGGTTTTTTGATTCCAAGTGTAGGCTTTTTTTTTTTTTTTTTTTTCTCCTCATTGATCACATTGCTTTATTGTGAATGTCTGACTGGCCCCTGAGAGGTGGACCTCTTTAGGTCAGAGACCGTCTTATTTATCCTCCCCGCCCCCCACCTCCCTTCTAGGTTCTCACTCAGTGGTAGATGCTTAGTAAATGTTTGTGGATTCCTTTTGGCTGAAATACCACAATGTCACAGTATCACAGTTAGGGCTTCTTCACTTGACATTTATTTGAGGAAGGATTCCTAAACCTTAGTTCATTATCATCATACTGTTTTCAGGAAGGGCTTAGAAACCAGTGTGTGAAATCCCTGCCAGGGAAGGGAGTTTGGTAATCCATCTGAAATGAAGCAAGTTACCAGACAGTTGGATTTGCGGTGCAAGTGGCCTCCTAGTGAATTCCGGCTGCCCAGTTGTTTGTCTAATTGTAAATAAGCAAGTTGCTGCTGAAGTCATTGGCTAGAGGTATAACCAGTACTTCACTTTCTGACCCTAGAAGTTTGAAATCGGGCTGGCCGAATGTGGGACCTTTGAAGCAGTGAACTCTCTAGGATCCAATTTTGGGTGACCTTAAAAGTTTTGCCAGTCAGTTTCCAAATGAGGATGAAATAGCCCCTTCTTGGAAAGAGTTGGAATTCCTAAAATTTTAGATTCTATTTTCTTGATCGGATTACAAAACCTCCAAAGTAGGTTCGAGTCTTATCCTTGTGTAGCTCTCATAGTGATGGGAATGCCTCTTTATGGCTTGCCTACACGTGCCAGCCCCTGGGCTAGATTCCTTCACACCTTGTGCATCATTTATTTTTTATTAACTCTTCTAGGATTTTATTTATTAGAGAGCGTGAAAGAGAGCATGAGCAGTGGGGAGAGGAAGAAGCAGACTCCCCGCTGAGGAGGGAGCACGTGGGGCGCCATCCCAGGACCCTGAGATCATGACCCGAAGGCAGACGCTTCACTGACTGAACCACTTGGGTGCCCTCCCATCATTTAATACACGTAAAAATCTGTGACAGTTTCCTCTCCGTTTTCTACAGCTTTGTAAACAGGTTCAGGTTGTTCAATCATGGTAGATGCACTGAAACTTGATTCAACCCCAAGTCTTTGTGATAGTATTCCCTCTTCCCTTTAAAAAAATTCTAACTAGCTCTCCTGTGGTGGATACTCTACCCGCTGTATGACTTGGAGCAAAGCACTTCACCTCTCTGAGCCTCTGGTTCCTGATCTGTATTTGGGGATAATGTCTTCTTTATAGGGACGGTAGGAGCATTACATGCATTTATGCTTTTAAAGTGTTTAGCATAGTGCCTGCTATATACACTTGACCTTTGAACAAAATGGGTTTGAAATGTGCAGGTCCATTTACATGCAGATTTTTTTTCAGTAAATACAGTACTGTGAATGGATTTTCTCTCATGATTTTTTTTTAAAAGGATTTTATTTATTTTTTTGAGGGAGAGTGACACAGCGAGAGAGGGAACACAAGGAGAGGGGGCATGGGAGCCGGAGAAGCAGGCTTCCTGCAGAGCAGGGAGCCCTAGGTGGGGCTCGATCCTATGACCCTGGGATCCTGATCTGAGCCAAAGGCAGATCCTTAACTGACTGAGCCACCCAGGCGCCCCTCGTGATGTTTAAAAAGTCTTTTCTCTAGCTTGCTTTATTGTAGGAACACAGCCTATATAACCTACAGAATGTGTGTTGATTGACTGCTTAGGTTATCAGTAAGGCTTCTGGTCAACAGTAAGCTCTGAGCAGTGAAGTTTGGGAGCCGGATTTACATGCAGAATGCAGCTTTTCGACAGCATGGCGGGTTAGTGCCCCTCACCCTGCGTTGTCCAAGAGCCAGTTGTAGTCTAAGTGATGATTCATTCACTAACTTATTCATCAACTACATACTGAGTGCCTGCTGTGGGTCAGGCACTGTTCTTGGCCCTAGGGCAACAGCAGTGAACAAGGCAAGTGAGGTCCCAGCTGTCCTCCAGTGTAATAGTCCAGGGGAGGGACACAGAACAAAGGAGTCCGTAGACTGTAAGTGTTAGTTGCTGGGTGGTTATTGTACTATGTTCACACTGCAGGTGGTTCATAAGTTTGGTTTGACCCGGCTCCTGTCATGCACTGTGCAGCTCTAGCTTCAACTTCGAGTGACCTCAGTGACCTTAGAGTACCCATCTCTCTTCACGCCTTAAGGGCTTACTTAGCTGGCAACCTTCAGATTTTTTTTTTCCATCCTTCCAATTTGTCGATGGCTGGTCCCTGCAAGCAGGAAGTGTCCTTGATTCATCCCTGAATCCCCCGTGCCCAGCCCACATGGATGCTCAGGAGCCGGTCATTGGTTTTATTAATCTCTTTATTTTTGGTACAGCAGTGCCAGGCTGGCTTGGTCCCCGTGCACAGCAGGTTGGAAAGTGAATCAGAGCGAGTGGCCCACCATTGCCTGAGCCCCTGCTGTGTCCGAGGCACTGGCGCGGCTGCTTTCCGCAGCAGCCCTCTAGACACGTGGCTCTGTGTCATCGTCAAGAAGAGATGAAATTTTGTTCTGTCTGTGGCATGGAAACCAATAAGTCCCTTTCATAATTTCACTAAAAAAAAGTTAAAATGAAGAGGAGGGTGTGTTTCCGTTAACTGGGGAGAGAATGTCACCGGCACCCCCGTTTGGAGGGCGGCAGATGCTGGTTATGTGGAGAAACTTCTGGGACACAGCTTGGGAATGTGACTCTCCATCCTTTCCTTCCTGCCTGATTTCCTTGTTCTCTTTTCATTACGTGAAAAAAGTAAATAGGCTTTTTTCGTGTTGGGCCTGTCAGTGTGGTAGAACATGGAGTTTTCAGCAGCTGGTTGAATGTGTTGTTTCCATTTAGGGAGCTAAGAGAATCCACTTGGGTGAAGACTTAAAGAACATTCTCTCGGAAGCTCCAGGAAAATGTGTTCCTTACGCTGTTATTGAAGGTACGTTTATTGGCAAAATTAAAAATTTCCTCTAATCCAAGTTTGATAAAAAATCTTCTTGGCTGATATTAAGGTCCTTTTGTTTGGGGCAGTGGTCCAGACCTGGACCTTGGGGTCAGGAAGAGCTGTGTGATCCCGGTGCAATTACCCAGCCTTTCTGAACCTCCCTTACGCCATCTGAACAATCTCTCAGGGGGGTTGGAGAGCTGAAATGATGGGTCCTCGTAAAGTGCCTGTGGGACAGAACTTAGAGTGATGTCATTTTCCTCATTTTGATCAATGGAACTCCAACTAAAAATAATATTTAAATCACCTTGAAAGGAAAGGGCAGAACAGTTCTTCAGAAGTAAAATAATCTGTTTCTGTTTAGGGGCTGTTCGATCTGTTAAAGAAACGCTCAACAGCCAGTTCGTGGAAAATTGCAAGGGCGTGATTCAGCGGCTGACGCTGCAGGAACACAAGATGGTGTGGAACCGGACGACCCACCTTTGGTACATAGTAGCCTTTCTCCTCTGGCCAGGCCTCCCAGTTGGCCGGCTCGAACGCGGGTGTCCTGGGTACTGTTTCCATGCCTTCCAGTTCCCCTGAGACAAGGCCTAGACCAGTTCCTTCATGCTGACGGTATTCTTGCGGGAGAACGGTTTTTCCAGCCAATCCTACTGGGTTTTTGTTTTGTATTTTTTATTGTGGTAAGAATGCTTAACATGATACCAACTCCCGCACCACCTTTTTAAAAAAAGATTTTATTTATTTGAGAGAATGCGGGTGTGTAGAAGGGCAGAGGGAGAAGCAGACTTCCCACTGAGCACGGGATCCTGACGCTGGACTCGATCCCAGGACCCCAGGATTATGACATGGGCCAAAGGCAGATGCTTAACTGACTGAGACCCAAGCGCCCCAAGATTTATCCTTTTAACAGTACTGGGGCATACAGTACTATTAGCTACAGATGCAAAGTTGTACAGCACATCTCTAGAATATATTTATCTTATATAACTGATGCTTTATACCCACGGAACAGCAGCTCCCATTTTCTTCTTTCCCAGCCCCTGGCAGCCACCATTCTGCTGTCTCCATGAATGACTATTTTATTTTATTTTTACTTTTTTGAGAGAGAGGAAGAGCATGTGTGCGTGTTCGCGCGAGATGGGGGAGGGGCAGAGGGGGAGGGAGAGAGAATCTTAAGCAGGGTCCACGCTCAGCATGGAGCACGACGTGGGGCTCGATCTCACGACCCTGAGATCATGACCTGAGCCAAAATAAAGAGTCGGACACTTAACCGACTCAGTCACCCAGGTGCCCCTGAGTGTGACTATTTTAGGTCCTTCATGCAAGTATTTGACTTTCTGTGTGGTGGTGTAGTTCCTCTTAGCATAATGTCCCCTAGGCTCATCCCTGTTGTCACTGTCACATATGGCAGAATTCCCCTCCTTCTTATGGCTGAATAATGTCCCGCTGTGTGTGTATCCCATTTCTCACTCCACTCATCTGCTGGTGGGCGTCTAGGTTGTCTCCACGTCTTGGCTCTTGTGAATAGTGTTGCAGTGAACACTGGAGCGCAGATACCTCTTTGAGACCCTGATTTCACTTCACTGGGATGCATACCCCGAGAAGTGGGATTGCCAGATCATACAGTAGTTCTGTTTTTGATTTTCTAAGGAATTGGATAGTTATTTGAAAGTGGCAAGGAGTGGTAAACGGAGGAGGTGATCTAGGACAGTGCTTAGTGCCCACTGATCGGCCTGAGAACCTCAAAAACGGAGCTTCCCCGTCCCAAGGCACTAGGATAGCAGAGATTTGTACGTATTCTTCCAGTTAGTGCGGACATTACCCTGTCCTGGCATTTAGGCCATCCCCTCTCTGCCTGGGCAGGGGGCGTTTACCATCGTCTCTTCTATCTGGGGTTCTCTCGTTGTTTCAGGAACGACTACTCCAAGATCATTCACCAGAGGACCAACACGGTGCCCTTCGACCTGGTCCCCCACGAGGACGGCGTGGCCATGGCCGTGCGAGTGCTGAAGCCGCTGGACTCCCAGGATCTGGGCCTGGAGACCGTGTACGAGAAGTTCCACCCCTCCGTCCAGTCCTTCACCGATGTCATTGGCCACTACATCAGCGGCGAGCGGCCCAAGGGCATCCAGGAGACCGAGGAGATGCTCAAGGTGGGCGCCACGCTCACGGGGGTGGGTGAGCTGGTGCTGGACAGCAGCTCCGTGCGCCTGCAGCCCCCCAAGCAGGGCCTGCCGTACTTCCTCAGCAGCCAGGACTTCGACAGCCTGCTGCAGGGCCAGGAGGCCCGCGTCCGGCTCTGGAAGGTCCTGACGCTGGTCTTCGGCTTCGCCACCTGCGCCGCCCTCTTCTTCATCCTCCGCAAGCACTACCTGCAGCGCCAGGAGAGGCGGCGGCTCCGGCAGCTGGAGCAGGAGTTCCAGGAGCATGAGGCGCAGCTGCTGAGCCGTGCCAAGCCCGAGGACAGGGAGAGTCTGAAAAGCGCCTGTGTCGTGTGTCTGAGCAGCTTCAAGTCGTGTGTGTTTCTGGAGTGCGGGCACGTGTGTTCCTGCGCCGAGTGCTACCGCGCCTTGCCGGAGCCCAAGCGGTGCCCCATCTGCAGACAGGAGATCGCCCGCGTGATCCCCCTGTACAATAGCTAACCGTGCGAGGGCCCCACGGGGAGACGTGAGGGGGGACACCCCTTCTCAGGAATTTTTGTCGTGAGGCCTTTAGGAGCGCAGTGATGGGGGCCGCTGTTAGCCCAGCTATGACTGAGGGAGGGGACTCGGGCGGCGGGGGCATCCTAGTCCCATGCCTCTGACACTGGGATGCTGCCTTGCTGCCGCCGTGAGAGGGGACCTTTGCTCCGCCGGCTGAGCCTCACGCCGCCACCCCCCCCACCGCGGGGGTGGGTGTGGTGGCCTTGCATTCCTTCCTGGCACCTGTGGAGAGTGTGTGTGTGTGTGTGTGTGGCCTAAGGGCCTAAGCCGCGATCTCTAGCTCTTCTGGTCCTTTGTGGGGAGTTGCTGTGGTCTGGAACCTTGAGTGACTCAGCCAGCAGGGCGGCAAGCCGGGCCCTGGGTCTGGTGTACGCCTCACCGAGCTGTCTCTGAAGAGTCGCCTTTGAGGAGACTGTCAAGTCTTTCTTTGTTTCGCTTATACCCCAGGAGAAAGGCCAGGCTGGACGTGTCACCCGTGTCCCTTTCCCCTCACCTCCTTACCTCTTAAATGCGTGCACGTGTGTGTCAGGACAGAGGGGAGTGAAGCCTGCTGCTTGCCTAAAAGATGGGGCTCTGATCAGCCCACTGAAGAGCGGCCACTTGAAGGGACAGTCGGACCGTCGCGTCGTCCCCAGTGGTGAAGATGGCAGCTTGGCAGCCGCCCTCCTGGCATCTCCGTGACCTAAAGGGAGGGCCGTCCCAGCACACGGAGCGCGCTGCGCACACCGCCGGCCCTGAGTGGGAGCTCCCGGGGCCCAAGGAGGCTGAACGCTGGCTCTGGCTTTCCCTGCCTGAGATGAGCCTGGAAGGCCTCACCTCCTGCAGGAAGCAGTAGGGCCACTGCTCCCCCAGCCTCGCTCTGCCAGCTGTCCCCAAGGCAAAGGAGCCAGCCAGCACCCCGAGCAAAGCGCCTTCTCTGGGGTCCTGCCTCCTCACATCAAGAAGTGAACGTCCCGTGGCAGAATCGCATTGTCCCTTCCTGGGTTGGTGTTCAGCCCCTCTCCTGCCTCCCTTTTTTTTGTGGAAAGAAGTAGGGTAACCCCCCACCTCTGACTAGTCAGAGGTCTTGTGCACAGCTCTCCTCTCCCTTCCCTGGCTTTGAATATTCATGCCCTATCCTCCTCTGGGGGAGGTGGGGTGCTCTTGGGGGCGGATACCCCTTATATGCAGGATCCAGTGTGGACGGCACGAAATAAACATGTTACAACCGAGTGTTAGCCTGTTGATTTGTCGACGAAAGTTCGGTGGTTTGGGTGAGGCTTGCCCAAGATGGGATTGAATCCTGCTCGGTGGAATGATCTCGAGACCTCATAGCCACTGTGTGTGTCTTCTTCCTCGGCAGAGAGGTGCTTTGGGGCTCCTATAGGGGGTGTGCGGCTTGGTGAGGCAGAGGCCTGGGGGCGGGCGTCCTGGAGAGCAGCTGGTTGGTATCCCTGGCCTCGCTGAGAAGTCCTGAACAGAGAGTCAGGGAGACAGTGGCACCGGGATGGGGGACAGCAGGGGGGGGGGGATGAGCATTTAGATTTTATACTGTGCGCTCTTCTGAGCTTTCATTTCAAGGTCAGCTAATCCTCAGGAAACCTGTAGGCTCTCATGGCATCTGCATCTCACAGATGAGGAAATTGCCCCCAGGGGAAGTTTGTGGGGCTGGGGGCACATCGCCAGTAGGTGGGGGGTCCGAGTTTGAACTCCAAGCTGTTTGCAAGCCGCTGACCCTCCTGCTCGCTGGTGGTGGCTAAGTTCCTCAGGGTCCATGGGAGCTGCGCAGGACACTCGCTCCTGAATTCATGGGAGGGGCGGGCTGTGGAGCATGGGCAGAGGTGAGAAGCCGCTTGCCAGCACTGAGTCCTGTCGGGGGATGTGGGAAGAGCCTGGGGGCTGGGCGGGTGGGGGGGTGACCCAGTGCCCTGAAAGTACCTGCCCCTTTTTCCTTGTCCTTCAGCCTTGACTTTTTCAGAAGGTCCAGCTTTTATTTTTTATTTTTAAATTTCATTTATTTATTTTTAAAGATTGTATTTATTTGACAGAGAGATCACAAGTGGTCAGAGAGGCAGGCAGAGAGAGAGGGGGAAGCAGACTCCCTGCTGAGCAGAGAGCCTGATGCGGGGCTCGATCCCAGGACCCTGGGATCATGACCTGAGCCGAAGGCAGAGGCATAACCCACTGAGCCACCCAGACGCCCCAATTTATTTTTATTTTTTTAAAAGATTTTTATTTCTCTGAGAGAGCGTAAATGGTGGGGGTGAGCAGAGGGGGCAAATCTTCAAGCAGACTTCCCACTGAGCGCAGAACCTGATTTAGGGCTCTATCCCAGGACCCTGAGAAGATGACGACCTGAGCCACCCAGGCACCCGGGTCTGGCTTTCAGTAGAGGTTGAACGAACCGCCTGTGGCGGGTGTATGTGGAGATCTATCCAGAGTGCAGCTCTCAGCACAGATTTCGTGAGTAAGCCGGGCTGGAGTGATCGAGCAGGCAAGGCCACCAGCTCTACCCAAGCCCCACCCGGATCTGGGCAGACCAAATCTGCCTCGACTGTTCCTCCAAGCCCAGCTGGGGACACGGAGCCGTGGCACACGCTCGCCGCCTTAGGAAGTGACAGCTGGCAGGAAACATGGACACGCGTGTACCCGGGTTCTGCATTTGAGGTCCCTGCTCAGTCCTAGCCCAGGAGGGGCTGACACTGTCTCCCAGCCTCCTGGCCCTGTGGCAGTTCCCACCTTCCACTAAGGAGCCTCATCTCCAGGAGGGCTGAACGGGACCTACCCTGAGACACCCCATTTTGCAGGTTATATGATATGCTTGAGGCTACTAAGGTCTGACTGGAATGCCTCCACATTTTGTCTTCATTACTTTAAGCCTGAGAGGGGAGGGGAAGTTGTCCAACAGACCCTTGAGTGTGGCAGACTCAGCGTTTTCCTGGCCAGTCAGCACCTCAACAATCACCAGTCACCCCCTGGTTTTACATATCACAGGGAGAGGCTTTGCACTTCCCCACCTTATCCTGATGGAACAGAAGCCAGAAGGCAGGTCTTTGGAATCCTAACTCATTCAGAATTATGATAGAAAATTAAAGAAGCAACAATATGGGGAACATTTAAAAAGCAAACAACACGACAAACTTGGCCAGTCTAGCACCTTTTACAAGCCCGGTCCCAGGCCACGAAAATCCCAACTGGACCTTGGGTCTGAGGCTGATGATCCCACAGGGCCTCTGGAATGCTCAGAGCAAGTGCTCGTCATGTTCAAGCTCATTGATGGGCAGTTATTCATCTAACAAACATTTGCTAAAAGTATATTTAGCAATCTGTGCCTGGAGATGCAAAATGAGTAGGACAGTCTCTGCCCTCAAAGGGCTCCGAGTTGTCTCTATACACCAGCATTGTTTGAAAGGCAGTAAACCTTAGGGGAACGGTGTGATGACCCTCAGAGGTTGAGCATTTTTGTGGTTCACAGAATACAGGAGCTGGGATGGGCCTTTGAAACTGACCTGGTTAGAGCAGATTCCCTTTCAAAATCAACCAACCAAGGGCAGTTCCGTGTCACAAAAGGGGAGCCAGGAAGAGAAGACGGACCCCAAAGAGCCTAGAATGACCTAGGAAAACACCAACCTGACTGTGTCCATCCTCTGCTGGAAACTCTTCCCCAGGCTCCTTGTGATCACCAGCCCCAGGCCCTGACTCTTCCCTGGCATCTGAAGGCCTGCGTAATAGAGCCCGGGCCACCTGTCCACGCCTCTCCGCATCCCTCTGTCCCACGAGTGTGGCTCTGGCCATGCAGTCAGTGAGGCTCCTGAGACAGGCAGTGCCAAGGTCCTGCCCGCGGCATCCTGGCCCTTCACGTCACTCATATCTACTTACCCCTTTCAAACTCAGCTTTAGGTGGTGTCCCCTCCATTCCTAGATGCCTCTGCGGGGTTAGGGCCTCTCCCCTGAGGTTCCATAATACAGTCTTCTCATTCCTGCACCTAACCTTGGGAAGGACCTGCATCTTATTTTCTCTCGGGTCGTCCATATACACTAGTTAGAGCTAACATCAGGGCTTATTCTTTGCTGGGAACTCACCGAGTGCTCGCCACGATCCCTGTCATTTAATCCGTATCCTGAGTTACGTGTTTGTATTAGTCTTCCTTTAAAGAGAAGGAACCAGGGTCCCCCATGGAGGGGGGGGGTGCTCTGTCGGTCATGTGTCTGCCTTTAGATCAGGTCCTGATCCCCAGGTCCTGGGATCAAGTCCCAGTGGACTCCCTGTTTAGCAGGGAGTCTCCTTCTCTCCCTCCGCCTCTGCCCCACTCATGTTCTCTCTTTCTCTCTCCCAAATAAATGGATAAAATCTTTAAAAAATAAATAAATAAAGAGAAGGAAACCAAGGCCCAGAGATGTCAGGTATCTTGCCGAGCTCATAAGACAGTCAAGATTTAAGCCCATGCAGTCTGACTCCAGGCCTAAGCAGTGAATGTCCATGGAATGTGTGTTGAGTAGCAAGTGTACTAGACGCGCGGTAAGCGGTCCTGAAAGGCTGCCTGTGGGAGTCGGTTAACTGGACCAGAGATGAGAGCCATGACCTGGTTGTATGAAGCGAGGGAAGGACCTCCTCTCTAGGGCTTTAGGCCAATGACAATAAACTGTACGAGAGGAACATCACGTCCAGCGAGCTGACCAGAGCGTTGAGGACTCCACATAGGGAAGTTGGAATGATGTCATTGTGTGGTGGCAAATAGTCTGCACTGGCAGCAAAAAGGCTGGCCTGCTCTCAGGTCCTGGCTCTGGGGCTGTGTGATCTTAATGGAGTGATCTGACCTCTCTGGGCCGCAGCTCTGTCTATAAACTGAGCGAGTTGGATCAAAGCCCTCCAAACCTCCAACCAGCTCTGCCATTTTGTATGTCTAAGAGTGGGTGGGGGAGCAATGAGGGAGAATTTGGGGGCCCTCTTTGGGGTTGCAGGTCTGACAGGGGAGAGCTGGGCCCTCTTCAGGCTAGCTGCTTACCATAGCTTCAGGACCACATTCCCCTCAAGCTGGGGAGAGCAGCACATTTTCTAATTAGATAGTGTTAACTTATCAATTTTGAATGAGATAAGTTTCAATGTATGATGTCCTGAATTGCTCCCTGGGGTGCTCATTAGTCACTTCCCCTGCAGCTGCCTTATTGTTTTCCAGATGCCAGCCGAGGCACCTGGCATTTTGCTTCCCCAAGAGCGGGCCGCACGAGGCTGAGCCAGTGACCCCAGCCTTGGTTAGAGGGACTGACCAGGCCTGGGCCGGGGTCCTCCTGTCTTGCCCTTTACCCTCTGTCCTTGCCAGAGCGATTCCCTTCCACGACGTTCCTCAAATTCAGATCCCTCAGGGATTGAGCCACGACTCTGGGGGCCATAACTGAACTCGACAAGCATTTATTAGGCACCAAGTGTGCCCGGCACCTTGTATCTGCAACCTGAATGTTCTCCAGGCTGGGGGAGGGGAGGGAGGGACAAATGAGGTTGTGTTAATATTAAAGTCCAAATTGCCCCAACTGAAGGCCTCTCAGCTCCTCATATTCTTTCCTAGTATTTAAGGTTCTTCATAGGGTGGAGCTTCATAGACTCTTGAAATAAGTTGGTCCATAGTCTTTATTTCTTCCTACCCTTTCCCACTGCAGGACTCGCGGCATGGGAGCTCTCCTACGGTTGCAGTCCCTGCCATGACCTCCAGGTGGCGCTGTGCCCCCACGGTTGAGGCCGGATGGCGGCCTCAGGAACCACCTAGGCTGTGCTTCCAAAGGTCTGCAAATTTTCTCTCCCCTGAGGGGCAGAAACAGGCCTGGAACGATCCCGATCCCGAACTGCTGATCCCAGGTCTAGCGGGGCACAGCCTGGAAAGGAGAGAAGCAGGGATTTTTCTCTCTGGTTCCTTTCTTTCTCTGCCCAGCTCACCAGGAAGCTGGGTGGAGATGTGAAAGTTTGAAGAAGCCCAGAAAATTCTGGGGGAAAAAAATCCTCCATTTCTCCCCCGATAATTTTCCAGGCATTCACATCTTTAAATATACTAACCATGATTTCTTTCAACAAAAATGAGATATGCATAATGCATCACATGTTCTTAAAATACCCAAATGACTTCACACTGGTAAAGGATGCTTAAAAAATTGTATGGCATAGATTCTGATTCTCCCCCAAGAAGTGTTTTCTCGGCAGGAGAAAGAAAGAAGTGTCTCTTAGCCCGGCCTGCTGTCCTTGCTCTCGGTCTCTTCTGCCCTGCCTTTGCCTTTTGCCCCCTCATCCAAGTGCCCAGCTCCTCTGTCCCCTGATCGGGCTGCCTCTTGTCAACTACTTTACTTGGCAGTCCTACCTCTTATCTGCCCTGTTTGCCTCTTACCTTCCAATGTGGGTAAGAGTTTCTTCCTCTGCGTGTGGATCTGCCCTCTTCCCTGAGGCTTTCTTAGGCTCTCTGCTTCTCTCTGGGGAGCTAGGGGCTGCTTCTGTCTGCTTCTGCTTCTGTGTGGCTCTCTCCCCTCCCATCTTTCTCACCTGTGCCTGCACCTGCCCTCGCAGACGGAACTTCCTCTTTCCCCGTGCCCTGCTCAGTCAGGGTAGGATGCGGAGGGCTCTGTGACCATGCAGTGGCTGCTTCTCACTCTTCTCCCCTTCCTGTTACATCGGGATTTCCATTCCTAGGGAGCAAGGGCCCTTCTGTCCACCCCTGGAGGGCTTTAGGTGGTGGGATTCACAGCATGGGACTATCCCCTGAAGTGACCCCACAGCACCTCATCTGATCCATACAATCTCCCTTTGAGGCTGATGTAGTTATCCCTCTTTCAGAGCTGTGAGGAATTCTGGCTCAGAGAGGGAAGCAATGGCATCCACGCCCATGCGTGTGGTGTAGGGAGGGTTTTAGGAATGGGTTTAGGAAGGGGTGCAGCTGGGTGAGGCACGGGTCTTCTGATTTACTCTCTTTTACTTGCTCTTCAGCAGGTCCAGTCGACAGATCTGTGCTGGGAGACCTGGGGTCTTGGTTCTTCTGTTGTCGCAGGAAACTGTTGGGGAATGGCATTTGTGGAATCTAGTCCTGCGTTCTTTAACTTTAAGGGGCTTTTAACTTTAAGAGATCCCCTGGGAACTGGGTACACAGTTTTCTGCTTCTGGGAAAGAGAATCCCACCTCTTTGATCAGATTTCCAAGTTCTCGGCCTACAAGGGTTAGACTCTAGGCTAGAGCCTCTCCGTATCTGTGGGTAGGCCGAGGTGCAGAGACCGGAAGAGGCTTGTCCCTGGTTTGGTGACTCCCGGGTGTCCTCAGGGAGGCAGTGTCGCCCAACAGTTGGGAGCTCAGCCTTGCGTCAGACCCGCTGCCTCTCCTGGGCCGTTGCAGCTCTGGGCTTGCCACTCCACTTTCCTGGCTGCAGACCCTTACAGATGGTCTAACACAGATGAGAGTCACTCCCAAGGTAATGGTGAGCATAGACGGTCTACAGCCGTTAGCATGATCAGGGGCCGGGTAAGCTCTTAGTAGTGACTGGGCAGTAGGAATTTGGGGTCAGGAGGTGGTGGTGACCCTTTCTGACTTGCTGGGGTCAGTTCTTCTTTGCCCCCTTTAGCTCAGCTCATTGCTCTGGTGGGGTCAGGTATCCTTTCGTCAGCAGACTTTGGGCCTCTTGCGAGCTCTGGACAGATGAAGGCAGACGGGTAGGTAAAGTATCCAGAGCCCCGGCTTCAGAGTCAGACCCCAGTTCCCAGGCTCCTGAGCCTCCCCATGTGTCCTAAAGGTGTACCCATCCCTGTCTGCCCCTAGGGTCGTGTGGATACCAGAGAGCACCATGGCGCCAGGCCTGTCGGCTGCCCTCTTTTTTCCCAGCCCGAGAGGAGCTATCATTTCCCAGGGTGACACAGAGCCCCAGCACCCCAGCTGCTCGGTCTGGTTTGGGGGTTGTAGGCAGAGCTGCTCTCTTAGAGTTCCAGGATCCCCCGTCCCCCCACATGTGAGGATGCAGAAGGAGGAGGGTGGGGGAGAGCAGAGTCAGGACACAATACCAGTTATCCCCTTTTCATGTTCCGGTGACATTTGGCTCCTAAACCCCTCCCAGCTGTCCCCACCCACTGTTCTTTAGGTTTTCCTGAAGAACCTATGGGACTCTTACTTTGTGGGCTGTGGTCACAATAAAAACTTAAAAATTTAAAAAATTAAAAAAATTACTCTCCGATACGTTTATTTATTTTGTCGGAAACACAACAAACGTCCTTGTTGAGAAAAGCCCTTTTTTCTGACTAATGGTGGGTGCTGCAACTCCCGCCCGCGTGCAGTTCCGGGTGGGCTGAGTGATACAGCGCTAATGGAGGGGAGCCCTCCCTTCCAGCAAGGCCTGGCATCGGGGCCCCAGTTTCCCCGTCTATGCTGGGAGGAGGCTGGACTAGCTGAACTCTGGGTGGTTTCCCATGGAGCTGTCTCGAGCTCTGGGCATTCTTTGGAGACCCTTCGGGGGGGGTGGTTGGGGGAGCCAAAGGGTGGGTCTTGAACCCCTAGCTCCCCAGAAGCTTGCCCTTTATCTATTATTTTATTTACTGGGGTTTCTTGTGAGATGATTTCTGAAGAAAGGGGCTTGGTGATTAGACAGATGAAGGGAAGAAGCAAAGAGCCCTTGAGCTGTCCTGGGGGAAGGACGGTGCTGCCACCAAAGTCCTCAACACACGTTTGCTGAAGGAGTGAGAGACGCACGAATTCTTCTCTTTCTGTTCTTTGATTCAAGGCCTAAGCCATGTCCATGTGTTAACACGCCTCTCTCTCATGGCGTGTGCCCGGGCATATGTGCCTGAGTGGGGGGGTGGGCGGCAGAGGCCCTGCCTGGCTGCACCCAGGTTCCAGTCCCTGAGCTGAGAAGGGTAGGGGTGACATGAGTTGGCATCCAGACTTGGCTCAGAGCGACAATGCCCTGCTGGGAGGCCTCTTAGCCTCTCTGGAGGTGACCAGCTGGCCATTGACCTCGCACAGCATCCTGATGGAAGGCTAGGGTCGGAGCCAGTCCTGGCAAGTCTCCACACTCCCTGCACTCCCCTCTGTGGCGGCATCCCTGAGGCTAAGTTTCCCCACGGTCTCATTCTTCTCTGAGTTCTGCCATCGCTCTCTGCTGCTGTCACTTGTGCCCTGGTTTTCCCTTCTGGATAGGAGAGAAGGGAAGGAAAGAAAGAGAACCACTGTGTGCCAGGTTTGTGCTGGTGCTGCTGGGGCTGGCTTTCCCTTTATTCCCCCCAAACACTGGTGTAGGCCTCCGTGCACAGCAGGGACCTGCCAAGATCTATTACTTCAACCCGGGAATGTCGGTGCCCCAGGGGTCATGGACGTAGTCCAGTCCTGTGGCCCCCCAATTCTAAGAGTCCTAGGGTCCCTTGAAGGAGATTTCAGATGAAATTTGAGGGGATGCCCCCCACTTTTGCCTCAAGGAGGTTTTGTCTACTTGAGATTTGGGAGAACTGGCTGATTTTGCAGTTTAAAAAAAAGATGCAATTTTCTTTGTTTTCTATTTTGTGATGTAGAGTCAGAGGCCTAGGGGAGAGCACCAGCTTATTCAAGGCCACAAAGAGAGTCAATAGCTGAGGATGAGAAGTACGTTCATCCAGGACTTACTGTGTACCAGGCATATGATGAGTGTATGAGCTCCTTTCCCGAACAAATAGGGATGATTATTTATTCCTGACCAAATAGGAATAATTATTAGCCCCATTCGACAGGTGAGAAAACTGGGGCACCATGAGGTGAAATAATCATGAAGTTAGGAAATGCCAGGTTAGGGATTTGAATGTGGTGCCCCCAGGGAAGGCTGCCCCCCACCCCCCGCCGCTGGGCTACTGCACTAGACCGTGTATTGCCAGTCTTCCTTGAGGGGTAGCAGGGAGGGCAGCTTCCTCTCCTGTCTTGCTTGGTCCACTCCTCCATCTGGCCCTGGCACCCTCAACACAGCCCTGGGCATCTGGCTCAGAGCCAGCCCCTCAGCTTTGGAGGAGAACGCCGGAATCCCCAGGCTATGTCTGCATCCAGGTCTAGTGGCCCGGGGATAAAGGGATGCCCCACTGGAGGCTGGACAGAAGGGAGGATGGGTATGGCATTTGTAACTGAGACAGCTGGGAGGCGTAGAGGCATGGACAAATGCCACGCTGATTCACACTTGCTCTTGCAGAGCGGTCATGTAAACTTGAAGACACCAGTGAAGACACTAGTCAAACTTCAGGTACCTTATCTGTAAAATGGGCCTGACTGTCCTAGTCCTGCAGCTTCTAAAGGCTAAGGGAAGGCTCCGAGGGTGTAACAGTCATGGAAATGCTTTTCTAACTGTCAAAGTGCTGAGTGCCTGGTGTGTGTGTGTGTGTGTGTGTGTGTGCTTCAGGAAGGGGGTGTGTACTGAGCTGGGAGGGTGCAATGCAGCCACCTTTAACCTTATTTGGAACAGGGCAAGGAAAACCTAAAAACAGATGGGGTTTAAAAGCCGGCTTATCTTCTTACTCTCACTTGCTGTGTGTGCGGGGTTCCTCAGCCCTCCCTGTGCTGCTGTGCTCACCTCTGTACAGCAGGGACTGTGCTGGATGCTCATTGTGTAAACTGCTTCATAACTCTGCAGGAAGGCGGTAACTGGATGAGTAGGGTGGTCCCAGCCCTGCGTGGAGTGTCCCCTACAAGGACCTGGAACTACAGCTGGCAAGAGTGACTTCTCCTGACTCCATCACTAGCCTGTGACCTTGGCAAGTCACTTATCCCCTTTCTGGGAATATCGTTAGACAGGGATGGGAGGTCTCCTTTTTCTACCTCGGAAGATACTTATTTTGAGAAGCAAGGTCAATCATGGATGTGAAATGCATTGGGGGAAAAACAGAAAAGCAGGATACATTTGTAAGAGCTTCTTGTTGTAACTTGATCATCCTCCTGGTTATGCTTTTGTTTTCTCTTCCAGCATTTGGCCTGATGCTAACCTCAAAGCAGACACTCTGCAGAGCCTTCATGAATGGGGCGGCTTGTGGAGGGAAGCAAAGGGAAGCTGCAGACGGGCATTGACCAGCTGACTCGCTGCGGGATTTGGGGCAGGCCCCTGAGCCTCTGTCTCAGGATCTCAGTTGCCCCCTTGTCAATGAGGTTGGGCTGCATCGTCTCTTAGGGATCCTCTCAGCTATGACACCTCAGAAGTGGGAATGAATGAAGTACTAGTGTTCTTTCTCAGTACTCATTAAGCACCAGGAGCCTGATTTCATTTTGTTCTGCTAACAGCCCTGTGAGGCATCCAGGCAGCTAGCCAGCCAAATGCCCCATTTTACAGCTGAGATAACGGAAGTTCAGAGAGGGGACGTGACTTGTCCCAAGCCACACAACTAGCCAATGACAGGATAGGGATTCAAACCCAGGCCCCACTCCCCTTCCCCACCCATCCCATGCATCCCACTGTCTCCGTCTCCTGTTTCTCAGCCCTCTTCCTCCGCTCTCCCCAGGGTGCCTGGCTTCTGGGCAGGGGACCCTTTTGCACAGTTGGGAGAGGGGGCTGGTCTGGCTCCTCTCATGTAGCCCCCTCTACCAGATGTGGTGTCCCCAAAAAACCACACCCCTTTCCCTCCCACCTGCCCCCACGCGGAGTTCCAGAAGGAAGGGGAGCGTGAATCTAAGGGTGCTCCTTCACCAAGGGTGGGGCCAGGTGCTGGGGCAGCGGTTGGGCCAGCTGAGACCTCACCGGGGGACCTAGATGTGTTCCCTGGCTCTGCCTTCGCTGGTGGCACGACCTGGGGACGATTACCCCTCTCGGCACTGGCTCTGCCGAGTGGAGGCGGTCTCCAGGGGAAGAGCTGTTGGCTCTGGGCGAGGATAACGAGCCCTCCTCACGTCCCTTTCCCCCCCGGAGTTACCATCTGCTTGGCAGATGCGCCTCCTATGCCTCTGGGGCTGCCCCAGTCTCCCTCCCGGGACCGGGAGCCCGCTCCTCGCCACAGAAGCCACAGTATCTCCCCAGGGCTCGAGGCTGTTGCTGGCAGGGAGGTCCCCCAGGGCAGAGGGCTGCAGGCCCGGGGCGTCCCCAGAGGAGGAGGCGGAGGCGGTGGACGCCGAGAGCCGGGCATCCCGGGCGAGCCCCGCGTAATGAGGCACTCCCCTCTCCTCCGGGAGGCGGGGCTGCCCCCTCCCCCCCCCCATGCCTCCACCCCGAGGCCCCGCGGGAGCCCGAGTTCTGAGCCTCGGCTTGGGAGCAGGGCCTTCCAGGGCGATCGCCGTGGGGGAGGAAAGGGGTGAGGCCCAAGGGGCCGGGCACCGGACGTTTGAAGGGGGGAGGGCCAGGGTGGTGGGGGGAGGGGGCTTCCTGGTTTGAGGCGGGCGCGGGAGGCTGCGTCCTCAGGTCGCCCTCGCGCCCTCCGACCTTTCGCGCTAGCGTCCGGCCTCGGGGGAGACCGGCGTCCATCTGTCCTTCCCGGCTTGTGGTCTTTGGTCCGCGGCCCCCCACCCCCACCCCCGCCCCGCGCCCCGCGCCCTGCCGGAGGCTGAGCGGGCGGCAGGTCCGGCGCTCACCGGCTCGAGGCCGGGTAAACACCCCGCGGGAGGGGAGCGGGGGGAGGCGGCGCCCGGAGGCCGCGGGGCCGGGGCGGGGCTCGCGGGGGGCCCCTGGGCGCGGGCTGGCCGGCGAGGGCCGGGGGCGGGGGCAGGAAGCGAGCCGCGGCCCGGGCCGGCCCGCGCGGCCCCGTGACGTCGCGCGGCTTCCAGGGATCTCTCCCCGCGGCCCCGGGTCCCCTCGTCCCCGCCCTCCTCCCGCCCTCCTCCCCGCGCCTCGCCTCCGCGCAGCGGCCGGCATTTCTCGCTCGCAGCTCGCTCGCGGGCCGGCTTCTCCGTCCCAGCCTCCTCCTCCGCGCGCTCCCACTCTCCGCCTTCCCTCCCCGACCCTCTTTCTCTCCCCGCCGGCCCAGTCCCCGATCCTCTCCGCTCCGCCCTTGGCCGCGGCGAGCGGGACCCGTCGCTGCCTCCCCTTTCTTCTCTCCCTCCCCTCCGTCTCTCCCTGCCGGTTCCCCTGCCTCCCTCTCCCTTTCCCCTCTGTTTTTCTCGCCGTCTCCCTCCCGGTTTCTCTCTCCCCTCCCTCCCTCCG